GCCACCCAGCGTAGCTCAATGGGTCACAGGGGCGTACAAACCATCGTACCACAATAAGATCCAGTCTGGTTACGATGGGCGATATAGTGCGGCACATACTCCACTGTCATGCATGTTTTGAAGGGGCAGTGGATAGGGCTAGCCTCCAGAGCTGGCGGGTGCGCGCCGCTGACGAGCCCCAGTAGGGCGAGATGGCTGTCTAGCGCTTTTCTGTATGTACGGTGGCTCTCTGTCTGAGTCTAGATGCGACCAGTAATAATAGGAAACTAGTTTGATTAGAGTACAGCAGAGACCTTAAAGCATGGAAATACAAGGAAAGGAAAGTAGTTACTGAAACTCTGTCTTTTTCTAAAAGACGTCATAGGAACAACAGTGGAGGAAACTAGTGTGTGGGAGGAGTGATATCAATACAGGCAAACCCGCTTTACTGCACACACACACACGGTTTATAGCCCACCCCGTTTCATTGCCGTTTTTCAAACTACAAATTCTTTTCTCAAAATAGGTTAAATTTTCAACATCTCATTGCTCATTACCGGGATCGTCCCAGCGCTTAATTGCCCAGCTGCGTGGGCTGTGCTCTTGTCGTATTGTCAAATTTACACCATCGCTCTGACCATTACAATTGCCCACAGCTAGCCAGTCCGACCACGCCTCAAGAACAACAACGATTTCGGCGGCGTTATTGACAGATCAGAAAAGGTCACCTACGTCATTTATTACACCACCTAGCTAAATGTACAGACAGCTGTGGGCAAACCCTTTGGTTCTATTCAACATCCGAGAACTGCCCATGGAGAAAAGAGTTCCACGGACAGAGCAGTCTTTAAAAATTAGCTGAAAGATCGATTGCCTGCACTTTTAAATGCATTTGTTGATAATAACCTGTACAATGCAGACGAAACAGGTCCCTTTTACCGAGAAACTCCAGAGGCCACGTTGTGTTTTTCTGCCGACAAGCCTAGCGGATCGAAAAGGCCAAGGATAGGATCACTCTCCTGTGTTGCGCGAATATGTCAGGCGCGGATGAATGAAAAGTGGTTTTGTTTGGAAAAAGTAAGAAAGCACCATGTTTTAATGATGTGCAGGTGGACACACTTCCCGTAACTTACAGAGCTAACAAAATGCGTGGAGGACGAAAGAACTTTTCACCGAGTAGGTCCTCGAATGGACCAGGTAGCTAGGGCAAAGTGGCAGAAAGTTATGTTGCTCTTGGCTAATGGCACAGCACATCCACACGTAAAAGGCCTGAAAAACATACAAATTGAGTTTTTTCATACAAACACGACAAGAATTCTTCAACCCATGGAACAAAATGTGATTGTGAATCTGAAAATCCGTTACGGAAAGGAAATTGTGGACCGAATTCCTTATCACATCGAAAACAACGTGGGCGGTGGGTGTCGAGGCCAAGATTTCTGTGCTCGATGCAATTCAGTCCCTCACAAAAAGTTGGCGACAGGTTACGTGTGCAACAATAACAGCTTGCTTTCGGAATGCTGGCTTCAGTCGACTGGCAACCGATGCAATTTCTGTTCATGCCGTCGTCATTGAGGATGAGATCAGCGCTTGCACAATCCCAGTTATCAGTGCAGAAGTGTTCGTCGCCATTGACAACGATGTGAAATGTAGCTCAGGTCTAATAACTGTTGAAAATGAAAACATCAGCAAAATTGTTGAGAACCAACTAGAATAGAAAGAAGACAGTGACACAGAGTATGACATGCCGGATTCCTTCGTGAGTAACAGCACTCAGCGCATGTTGCATTCAAGAGCAAAGAACTGCGTGAATGAGCTGCATTGATACGGACTTTTGCATGGGCTAGTCAACCATTTCTTGTCCACATTGGACTTCATCAGTGTAAAAGTGACTGAAGTAGCAACTCGAAATTATGTACAACTGACATTGGATGGTTTTCTCAGCAATGATATACTAGACCGCCGGTTTCTATTGCTATCCAGGTAAGATGCCTTATGTTACAACTTTTAAATTATAGGTCATGCTATTCTGAATAAACACCTTTTGTAGGCTTTGGTTAAAAGTACGTATTTTCTCTTTATTAGCACGTTACACTTCAAGTTGTATATTGTGCAATAATTCCATGGTTGTTTCCCTTTTGGGAAAAATGACAATATCGGTTAATTGCCCACCCCGCTTTCTTGCTCACTTTTGAGGTATCCCGACGGTGGGCAATAAAGCGGGTTCCACTGTAATTGGTTGGCTGTGTTGGAATCCTGCAATTGCGTTTCTGACAGATGATAATGATCAATTACGAGAGAATTCATGTTGGGCGAGTTCAACTTGCTCTCTGATCTGCTTTAGAGTGCGCACATCGAACGTCACAGAGACGTTGAAGGGATTTTTGACTGGCCCTTGTGAACATCGGTGTGCTGACATAGAAGGTAGTAGGAAAACACATTTATCGGGGGTCTTAGTTTTGTCCACAATTGAAGAAATAAACAAGTACTAGGTGAATAACATGGCAGAAATAAGAGTTGTTGGTGTTGTACGAGTGTAAGGTAACCAACGTAGGCAATGAGCGAACCCAAATTGTGTTAAATGTAGTTCGATGATTACGTGTAGGCGGTATACTACCCGGTCGCCGAGGTCACCACACTAAGGCCTTAACTAATTGGTCCACATGCTTGTGAAGTATTAATACGCGGGAAATTTACATCCCTTGGGAGCCGATGGCTTACTAATCAATCCATAAGCATTCAGGAAGCGATACTTAATAGGAGCACACCAACAGGCCCCGTGCTCGAGAAGAAAGCCGAATTAATTTGGTTTTTGGGTTTGGAGCACCCGCCGTTTGTCTCGGATTGTGACGCGCAATCTCAATCGTGGCCTCGATTAACTTGAATTCAGCCTCTGCCAATACGGTCAGTATGCCCGTCACCGAGGTGAATCATGGCGATCCTGACAAAAGCCGCCAAGCACTATGCGCCGAGTTCCACTCCCAGCTCGACTTTGTCTAACTGATGAGTCTAAACCAAGACGAAACCGTCGGTCGCGGAGTGCAGGGTTGGAAGAGAGCCACACGGAAAGCCGAATTATTTTCCACTATACAAGGATATTGTTTATAAGTACTGGTTAATCACCACCATCAACCTGCAGTGATTTTAGGTGGCTCATGTTCTTTCTCTAGGAAAGTAGCCTTGTTGCGGAGTCACCCAGCACTTCCACTGTCCCAAATATCCACAAATACTTTACATTTCCCTGTGGCGCATATAATGTACACTCACCTCCAGTAAGAAAACATCTCCCATCATTGGCGTGACGGATGCACCATGAAGTCTGTAGTCCTTCAACAACTGAACAACCATATGTTCGAGCAGCCCGTTAATACATCAGACGAAGTTGGGTTAAGGAAGAGTCTTAAGATTAATAGTTAACAATGACCTTTTAAAGCCTCTTTCGTGGATAAAATGTCTTGCGATTTGCTCCTTCATTTTTTACCTACTTGCTTAGTAGCATGCTGTATGTTTGTAACGCATTTGTCTCTCGAGATTTTGCTTAATTAAAAGTGTGTTACAAGTTGCGTTAACCTCCGGTTTCCTTCCTATTCTTCTCTAAAAATAACGGTCATGTCATCAGTTTGCTGTGTAGAGGAAAATGCTGTATGTGCATGATAAAAATGCAGGAAGATCTGACTCGGATTAACGAATGGGCAGAAAGGAACTAGCTCCCACTGAACCCTGCAAAGTGCCACCTGCTGACGGTGCGCAGCAGCTTCATCAACATATGCCTTTTTTGACAGCACATCCTGCAACACGTAACTAGTGCACGAAACTTACCTATTATCTTGCGAGAGTGTCTTAGCAATTCGCTACAATATTAGAAAGCAGCAAGTGTGGCGAACGAACTTGAGACTTTTGAGGCGAGCTCTCAGTACCTTTGAGCGACGGCTAGTACTAATGCTGATTAACTCCTATATTCGTCTCACGTTGAATATGCAATTCAGGCTTTGGTGTCCATGGTTTAAACGAGACATGCGCTTATTGGAACAAACCCAAAAAAGAGCCAGAAAGGCAATGCGTGGACTATCCGGTCTAAGTTACGAACAGCACCTTCGTTTATTCACTGTGTTCTCCACAGAATACCGACGGCTTTGCGGAGATCTCATTCTCACACAACGGATACTAACTAAGGGTGAGCACCCATGGACATCACCGCTGACCCTAGCCTCTTACCAACAATGCCAACGTAACCACCTGAAACTAATGATGCAACACTTCCGTTTGAATTGTACAAAGTATTTCTACTCACATAGAATCTGTTCCCACTGGAATGCATTACCATCACATGGGGTGAACACACCAGACAGCACGAGACTCGAAAAGATATTTGACTTTCATCTCGTGATAAACGTTGTACAACAGTTTGGTAAAGTGCAATGGCGTAACCACTGATAATGCACATTCCACGTTGGCACATTTTGATTTTATTTTACATATAAATCCAGTGGGTCTTGTAAAGTTTTGCTTTTAATCCCAGCATACACTATTGAACTACTGAACTACCCGTGTGCATCAAGCCTATTTTGACTTGACTTTGACTTTGATTTGACTTGTATCTAATTACCTTCAGTCTAGAAAGTGTAGTTTAAGCAAACGTCCTTCCGACGCTTCTGTAAATACAAAAGCGTATGCCAAAATATGAGTGTTTGAAACACTTTTCTTGTGAGTGACTGGTAATTTATCTCCGACAAGGTTGGACATTCACGTCGTTTCGAGCCGACCAACCCTTCAATTTGGTTTCTAATAGCCCACCTAGAGGCACCTGTATTGATTGAGTCTGATGAGCAACCTCCAGAGATTATCGAGCAAACTACTTGAATATTCACCCACACTTCCTAACTAGGCTTGGGGATTCAGATGATGCAAGTAGACCAGATCGTATTCCGTATACTTTGCACGCAGCCAAGGTTTCTGAAATTTGCCATGAACGCACACTCATTTAATGATACCTTACCACTTTTCTCGCAATTTTAATGCAGCTTTCATTAGTGTCAACCAATCTGCACAACGACTTGGTGCGGTTGCTCCGAACATATATGAATCACTCCAAATTGGCGTACAACATAGCCCGCGTGATCAAAGTACTGGGGACATGTAACGAAAACAAAGCAAAGTTGGTTGAAAGCGGTGCAGTTGAGGTTTGTTTCTCATTTTGTACTTCTGTATCGCAACTTCCCTAGGGTCATTTCTAAGCGGCATGTATGCATCAAACCATTTCCCCACCGCTATGTCAGATGTAAAAATGTAGACCCGACCAGACGAGTCAATGTAATGTCCTCCATGAACATATCCAATGCTTGAGAAGTGAGCTGTTATTCCCCTCCTTTTGGGTTCGAGGATTACGTTTGCGTTTTCTCTGAATTCCAGGCCACATGAAAGCAAATTGTGATTGTTCGGTCGCTCCAAATAACAACTCTCATCATCCATACAGACATTTGCACTGTCCCAGCGTTGTATGGTCGCGCCAAGTGCCCAAAGGTAAATGGTAGGCTATGTAGATTACAATATTCCACCAGCGGTAGGCGCATCCATGTGGCACGTATTCGCTCCCAGGAGCTTGTGCTATAATCACGTGGCTTCCAGTCCTAGTTGCTGCAGCACATACGGCACAAACTGGCAATGCAGCATCGACCTTGCGTACCCCCCGACGGTGTCAGCAACTGTAACCGAATGCAGGTTAACTAAAAAATAAATAAAAGTTCTATTTCTCAACTTTACGGGAAACGGATTACATGACCTTGTCATTTTGTACCACACAATCGAATAGTGGAAAAAGTTATTCGTTTCCCAATGGTTCCAATGGAGACTTTGAGAGTAGAAATAAATGCAGACAGAGTCGACAGTTCAAAATAATGCAGCCATGCATGGAACTGTCTCCTGAAGTAAGTTGTTCAAGTTTTCCAATGGTGTGTTAGGAGTTTTCTATCAGGTAAAAGTACTGAAGGAGGCGGAAGTTGAGAGACAGCAAAAGTGCAGGTATAGCCGGTATTACAAGTAAAGTAATACGATTTTCTATAGAACCGTCTCCTGGGAACCTGCTTCCTTGCGGGGTAATCCATCGAAAGCTTTCATCCGCATTTCCACGTTTCATCTGACTATGCCGTCATTATTTTGACTCGTCTTCCCGGCTGGTTTTGTATGCAAGTAGGCTCGTCATCATGTTGGTACTTTCTTCGGGCCACTATTGCAAGCAACCGAGCCGTCATCGAGTTGACGCCTTTTTATGGCCTGGGTTATTTGCATTTATGTCGTCATCGCGCTGACTCGTTTGGGAGGGGGCGCTGTACATACTAGGCACTTCCGCCATGCCGCCCATTCCACAAGTCAGCTGTTTCGAGGTATGCATTTTCATATTCGTCAGTGAGGAAATGGGAATTCGCCTTGCATGGGTATACTATGTAGCTTGGAAGCTTCAATCCGTCATCGCAGCTGATTGGTCCAATCTTGGCCAAAGGTGGTTAGCGAGAAAAGTGCATATAAATAGTATGAATGAACAGTAATTGTGGTTGGATAGCGTACGTCTGGCGATTATCTGATTTCAATTGTACAAAAAGACCATGGAATACTACTAATCTCCAGAAGTATTCACCAAAAAGCGATAAAAACGGATGAATATTGAAATAGCTCCCAAGCTGCAGGCGATGGAAAAGGAGAGGTCAATGGCGCAAATTCACTTTGCATGGCTCTGAGAACAGATGCAGGTACCCGAGTTATTGACTCCGGAGGAGAAGAGAAAACAGTTAGTAGTGTGGGACCAGCGTAAAGAGTAGATATAAAACTTTTCAAGTTGACCGGAGACGCGGATATTGATCTACTTAATCCTGAGGTACATCCATATAAAACTGTCGCCAAACGAGTATCGTTGTGATAAACAATAGCACATAAATTGTGAGTGTAAGAATGGGTCTGACTGAGTGACAGATACGTTGTGGGGTCATTTGTACATGTTTCCTTTTTCTTGAAAACATCTCTTGTAAGCGACAATTCGCTTTGAAGGGTCTTGAGCAAACGTGTATCCAGCCAGTCAAAGAACAAGAACACTGGACAACATGACGGTACTGTTGGCGAACAATTAAGAAACAATAATAATACAAACCTCAATAGCAGCGCTTCCACTCAATGCAGTTTCGGAGGAAATACAATTCCGTCCGAGACCAAGAAGAACGGGTTTCAGATCGTCAATGCGATACAGAATACAGTACACTGGTTATATAGGACAAGTGAAGTTCATGCGCTTGGTCAAACACAGACCGGATGAAGGCCGGATGCGTGAAATGTGAGTGCGAAAGATGATAATTACACTGCTCGTAATCCGTGCGAAAAAGCATGTAAACGCCTGTAACGAAGGCATGTTTTGGGATAATTGCGAGGATAGTTGCGGTGATAATGGCGAAGATATTTGGGGTGATAGTTGCGCTGGTATTGGCCAAGATAATTGGGATGATAGTTGCGGTGGTAATGGCGAAGATAATCGGGGGCGATAATTGCGCTCGGAGTAGTCCACACTCGAGGGTTGACGACCGGCTGAGTTGAACACAGAGCATCGATAATCCTTGTACATAGCTCATTGAGCGTTATCTGTCGTCCAAACAGTTCAACTGTATTCGGTAAGAGGAGAAATTGAGTCAGCTCAGTTTGTTACTAATCGATAGATTGACATGCTCTTACTGAGTGTGGCGATCGGTTGCATACAATGGAGTTTCAAGCCATGAAAAAGATCGCGCGAATTTGCAAGCTGGTTGAGAAAGAATAAATTTTCTGTTCCTTATGATCTTGACATCATCCTCCCTACACTTCTGCTGGGTACTTGTGCTAAACCTGATATGGTGTATCCGTTTGGGAAAGAAAACTAACTTCATCTGCCATAGCTAATCAATGCTCAGTAGCTGACATATATTGTGATATGTTGTTAGCGATGATTCACTCAAGACTTAAAGTGAATTTAGACCGCAACTGCTCCAGTGATAGTAATTCTCCATTATGCATGAGACTGAATATAATCGGACAGAACTCCATAAGTGGGCGTACGCAAATCAAATAAAGAGCAAAGTTGATTTTGGTCAGATTATTGCGTTCTTGACTAAGCTCAAAGCGCATCTTGGTTTCATAACTCTTCCTGAGCAGGAGTTGAGTTAGTTAACATGTCACTATAGCTTACTCCTGGATCCCAACTGGACTGAGTGGTGTGGATTGTTTACCCACAGAGAATTAAGCTCCCTGATAAGAAGCAACATGTGTGACATCGAACGCGGGACTTGTGCACAGAGAATTTAATTAACCATTCAATCGACCAGAGCACAAGAAGATTCACGTCCCTTGGAATGGGTTTGGTTACTATCTACAAATGTTCCGGTGAAAACTTACAGACGAACTTCATATGTTCCGCAAAAAGAAATGATTTTTCATATTTAACTCTATCGAAAACATTGTTGATATGGATGAGGAACAATGTAGCACCAAGGAGGCTGCCTTGAGGAACTCCTTCCGTTATTGCACGTAGTTGAGGCTAGATTATCTAGTAAGACAGTCAGTGCGCATTCCTCTAAGAAGTAGGTAAACCAAGCTAGGAGTGAGTCGCGGACCCCGAATGATTTAAGTTTCAAGAAAAGTCGCTTATCTGGGACACAGTCAAAGGCTTTGTACATATCGAGGGAGATCACCAGTACCGAGGTTTTGGCGTCTACAGCCAGAAAACCCAACTGTCAGGTATTACATGATCGTATACTCATAAATCCGGGTTGTTGATCACTTAAGAGTCTGTGTATTAAAATATATTCATCTGGAAACTTTTCGATAATTGTTTTCAAACACTTTATGATAGAAATGTGATTGATGGGGCGATAGTTACCAACTTCGTCTCTTGCTCCGCTTTTGTGTTGTGAAATGATGAGAGAATGTTTCCAATGGGGCGGAATTTCGCTGATTTGTGAGAAGCTACAGATGTTTAAAAGTAAAATGGGATATTTTCCCCACCATACGTGAGTACATTTGGAGAAACACTGTACGGCCCAGTAAAGGTTGTGGGTCGAACTTATATGAGAGTGGATTTAACCTCTGGGATTGTTGGTTGGGGGTGGTGTATCGCCCTCCGTCGGCTACCTTGGAAATGGACAACCGCCTAGCCTCCACAATGAAGACCATTCTCTTGCAGTCGTACAGTCACATTCTCCTGGTTGGCGACTTCAATATTCATACCATAGAAACCCCAGCCTGTATCAACGAACCTTTCAAAATGGAAGTACAGGAGATAATCAGTGGGCTACCACTCTACAATCACATCACATCTCCCACAAGATTCAGGACGGGAAACAAACCGGGTGTCCTGGATCTTGTATTCACCAATGAAGAGCTTATGCTCGAAACGGTATCGATAGAGAGTCCTTTAGGCCGTAGGGGCCATGCAACCCTCATGTTCAAGTACATCTGTTATGCAGAGTGTTCCTCAGAAAACACCGAGGAATGTCAGCTCATTACGGATTACGGCGCTCTACTCAAAATTATAAATGTTACAAACTGGGTATTTCTAGCAGAACGATCCCCCGATGACGCCTGGTCTGAATTTGCTCACCAATTCAACACGTTAGTAACTAGTGCTTCTAGGAAAAGACCGTCGCGAGCGAAGACAGTAAAATCATTCAAAGGCAGCAGGACACGCAAGTGTATCGTCACGAGGAATTTACTCTGGCAAAGATACAAGGAGTCATCGAGTGCAGAAACATGGGAAGCCTACACTATCCATAGGAATCACTGCGTAAACCTGGTACGCGAAGATAAAATACAGCACCAACAGAATCTAACCGAGAAATTCCTTTCAAACCCCAAGCTCCTGTACAGACACGTTAACAAGCTCCGTAAAGTGCAGCGAGGAATTCCTGCTTTACACACAGTGTGTGGACTCGCACAAAACGTAACCGAGGCGGCCAACGCCCTATGTCAACAATTCACCCCGAACTTCCAGAGCACGACATCGCCGCATACACTGTTCCCAATCGTTGTACCACCACCAGGACTTAGCCACATCAAGTTTACGACTGCGGATGTTATGAAAAGGCTAAATGCCCTGCGCGAGCATACCTCTCCCGGTGTTGATAATATTCGTCCAAAAGCGTTGAAAATGGCTGCAGTAAACCTGGCGGAC